TCAGCTATGGTTGGGCTTAAACAAGGCCGATGCAGCAGGTCGTGCAGTTGAAGCGTTCGCTATTACCCCAGGACTGGGCCAGCTGGTGACGACCCCACTTTTTCCCCCGCATTTCGTCACGCGCCAATAGCCTGTCGTATTTCTTTCTGACCACGCATTGTGTCCCTTACAGCACTTCTGCCCTGTCACCCCTGGGTAACTCAGACCACGGTGTTGTGGAGGTTAGGTGTCGGTCAGAATCCGCTGTGGCAACAGAAACTCGCCAGGCCACAAAATTTGGCATTACGGACATGGCGATTGGCAGGGGCGCAGAGACTTTTTCTCCACATTTCCTTGGAGAAATGTTTGTTTTGCTGACGCGGATGCGTCGGCTGTCTGTTGATCCATAACCGAGAGTAGCCTTCCCCCATTCACGTGTCAGGATGGAACGACTGTAACCGACTCAAAGGCTAAGGCGGGAGTGCTTGTCAAGATCTTTGCTCCTACTCCACCATAGACGTCCCCCTCAACGCACGAGTGGCGTCGATTCAAAAGGTTCCCTACACTATGCTGGAAGTAACATAAGCATAAGATCGTAATATGGGTGCTATTGACGCTCGAAGAAGTGTGTAGCGGAGCTTTTTCCAAATCTTTCGCGTCTTTTCCAGATGTGTTACGAAAACAACCCAGAAAACTGGAAATTTGCTCACGTCCAATCCATTCCAACAAAAAGGTATATAAGACCGACCCGTACAATTATTACAGGCCTATAGCTTTGCTTTCTGTTATAACTAAGGTGATGGGGAAGTGCATAAATAGCAAGCTTAGCGAGAGGCAGTACGGTTTCCGGTATTAGCGATCCATAGGGAACCAACTAGCTTACGTCACGCAATTGTGGAGTAAACTTATCCAATCTTATAGTGATGTCGCTGCTCTTGGTATCACGAAAGCCTCTTATGCAAACTTCCATCCTATGGCTTCCCAGAGAAGCTTTGCAGATGGGTGGCTGACTTATCTACCCGCAAGATATCCGTCATAACTGACGGGTTCTCTTCTTCATCCCACAACGTCAACCTGGGTGTTCTCCAGGGTTCGGTCTTGGCTCCGACATTGGTCCTCTTACATATCAACGACCTCCTTTCCTGTACGATCAACCCAATCCACAACTTTGCTGATGACAGCACTCTACATTCAAGAATGGATTCTCGGACACATCTCGTCAATAGCGGTAGCTGCTGGGAAAAAGCTTTGCTATTTGTGTAGGGCTAAGAAATACTTTTCTCCATATGACCTCCTCACTCTATACAGTCTCAGATAAGACCTAGCATCGAGTATTGCTCTCACGTCTGGGGTGCTGCCGCCCCGACTATATTATTTATGCTCGATCCAGAGGAGGGCTGTCCGACTGATCGATGACTCTTCGCTAAGGTCCGTATCGTCAGTCGTCCCTACAATTGTAGGGCGCCTTTATGGCCTCCTTGATTGTCATAGTTTTCTATTTCTCCGTGTCAGCGCTCTATTTTGAGGTTATGTCACAAACATCTATTTGCATCAAATTGTGCTTGCTTTTGAGTTATATCATGTTTTATCAGCCTGAAATTTCCTACAATTTAAAAAGAAAACATATCTTCACAATAGGAGAGCGCTGACGCTGACACGGGACAAGTGTAATCTAGAAATTTTTGAAGGAGAGAAAGGAGTATGACAATCAAGGAGGCCATAAACGCGCCCTACAATTGTAGGGACGACTGACGATACGGGCCTAAGACACAGTCTCGGGACCTCTTCGCACCGGTGGGCCATTGGCGATCTAGCTCTCTTCCACCGCTACACCAACAGGCTTTGATACTCAGAGCTCTCCTCCATGATGCTGTCACGCGATGTGCCTGCCAGACACATCCGTCTGACATCGGCCTCTCATCCTAACCGTGTCGAACTTCGTACATCCAGAACTGGCCGATACGACTGCTCCCTTGTCCCGAGGATGTCGACATTGTGGAACACAATCTACAAGAGGGAGCTTTTCCCAGTTCTACTAACTTTAGGCAGTTCAAATATCGGATTAATAAAACTTCTTCGGGATCCTAATAGCAACCACGGTGTTCTGGCATTTAGGAGTTAAAAAAAGAGGCTAGCGTATGTTATAAAGATATGCTAAAAATCCAATCAAACCTGCAAATATCACCCAAATTTCACATTTTCTATCTTTTTAAGAAAAATTTTTGTAAACTACTACCCAAAAACAATGTGTACTATGACTGACAAATAAATACGGCTAATCCAAGCCAAAATACTATATTTAATGATGTTTTGTAGGGAGTATATGTCACAGGCGTTTGCCTTATGGTTAGAGCTTTTATTAAGTGCTTTCTCTATATTCCAACTACTACGAAGGCCTAAGGCCTAAACACCCATGGGGTACCGTGGGGCTATGGGGGATACATGGGAAAGGGGGAACGCCACACGGACTCTGACGAGGGATGCAACATGCACACATTCTGGCCCCACCTACGAGATCCGCCGGGTGGTACCTCCGCGTTCGACAGTCAGAGACCGTCTACCACCTACGGACAATCACAACATCCATAGCCAAGAGAAAAATTTCTCCTGGGACGGGATTCGAACCCGCAAAGCGCACGGCGACTGATCAGCAGACAGAAGTCTACTACTGCGGCCACCGCTGCTGCCTAAGCAGCTTTATCACATACTATGCTGATATTAATTTCTCCATTTTTGCATATTTTAAGGATGGAAGTTTAAATGATGTTTTATGGACTCAAGTCACATTAATTTTTTATTCAAGTATGCGAAAAGTGTTTGTATGCACCAGAACCTTTTTAAGTACTTTCATTTGGTTTTATTCAATTTCAGAGAAAAACAAGCCGATAATTAATTCTTATCACAACATCTAATTTCCAAGAATTGATCTTGCAGTTCAGTGTTCCAAAATGGCAATCACTAACACAAACGTTAATTTTTATGATAATAAGGTGGATTTCCCAATTGGTGTAGACGAGCCACCCATCAATCAGAAATGTACTTTGCTGAAGATATCCTTGTTTCCGCTTTGTTTTAATTCTATCAATTTATTCTTCGCATATTAGCAGTATTTGTCCATACTCAACAATCACCACCCTGTATAATGCCACCAGACAATTTTGTTTTATTACAACATTATGATGTTGCATTTTTAATTTGCATAAATACTAACAATAAATTACTGCCAGATAAAACTTGTTAATGTGTTTATGTTTTTCGCAATTTAGATAATTTTATAAAAAATAACCTCATAGCACCATTATAGGAAGAATATATCGTTAAAAGAGTAGTACATATTTAAATATAAGTACATACTGATTATAACTTCCCACGCCTTGTGGCGCGAAATTTTCGAGAATGACATGTACATCACGAAAAACCATGTCACTCATTTACGTCGGCATGTTTGTCGGTCGGTCCGCTAATCTTAGGACCGCCTATAAATTGAGAAGTACCGCTCGGATTTCGACGAAATTTTTAAACAATGTTACTACTATGCCATGGTCGCAAAAGATTTGTACCCATCCAGTAGTGGCAGCGAAAAAGGCCTCCCAAATTTACCTTTTTGACGTTTTAGATGATCCTGATCATTTTTGAGAATAAAGTAACAGGTAAAAAACTTGGGTGTGGGGGTGGAGAGTGTTTATCTCAAGATTTTGATGCTGCTATACTTAATTGCTCCCAAAATCTGCCCGAGTTAGGTATTGGGGAAAGGCAACGTTTCCAGGTGCACTACCAGTAGGGCAGGGAAGGAATGTCTATGAACTAATTGTATGGATCTGTTTGATTGAATGTTTTCTCAGAGGTTCTAGTTTGTTCTGATAAGAGCAATGCATGGGAAATGTAGAGTTAATCTACTTGAAGCCATTTTTTCCCTAGCTTACAATATAAAGTTATATAAAGAAATTAATTGGGATGAATGAAAAAGCTTTTTCTGAAGCAAAATCAAGTTATCTGCTTGATAATGGATCCATTCCTCAATTTGGCAAGGTTTGGATTAAGTTAAAAAAAATTATGAATCTATGCAGCTGCAACAGTATAAAAACAAAAACAAAATAATTTGAACAAGTTTGCACCATAGGTAGCCTTAAGTGCTTAAATAGCCATAAGCCATCATACTTCTGTGTATGAATTCTGTTTGGTGCCCACTGGCTATGCACCATACAAGTGCTTTGTTACTATGGGGTAAACATGGCCATTGCAGGTGAGTGCTACATGTTCAATATTTACTGTGATCCATCAGAAACATGGCAATTACTGAACTTGTAGCATAGTGTATCGATGGATGCACCGATTACTAATACACTAGAGGGTTGTCATTCTTCTATCCACTAGATGTTCTATCAATGCCAACCTAAGTCATATGCATTTGGTACGATTTCCATTACTGTCAATTATTACTGCGACACTTAGGGTAATTCAATTTACTCCATTGTACTGTTGTTTGTGGTTATATTCATTATAAGAAGCTCTAGAAAAATTATCTCTCCTAAATGCATGTGGGCAAATGATGAATTTCTAGATTTTGTAGTTTGTCATATAAGACATTCATGACCCCCGTGATAAAAATTCCTCCTGACGCCCATGGAATAAGCTAGGAAACACGCCAAGCAGTAGGGGACTCAGAGATTAAAGAGACAGAGAGTAGCTATCAAATCTGTATAACCTCTTGTTATGTAGAAACCCCCTGATACTGATAGATCAATCAGTAAATACTGATGGTATTGATCACAGTGACTACTGAACATGTAGAATTTGCCTTGAGATTCCACTGTCAATCTTATGGGATCCAGGGGGCTCAGAGTAACTGATCGCCTCCTTTGACAGTTGTGTAATGAGCCTGGACCCTCTCTAACTTTAGATCTGGTTCCGAATTCTAAATAGATATGTTCGTGTCGTATTTGGAATATAACATATATGGTCATGTTTAAATATGAATTTACCAGAAGACATTCAAAAAGAAAACATCAACAAATACATACCTGGTGTTGGTTGCACCAATTTCGAAGGATAAGGCAATGGCTCCTCAAATATCTTTTTAAATTCATCGGTAGGATCTTCCTGAAATTAGAAACTAAGTAAAATCAATAATTTAAGAAATTTGTATGTGCTTACCGCAAAGCGAAGGTTTTTCTCCACTATACTTGAATCCACATCTAGAAAGATAGGTTTTTTGCTGCTACTTGCCATTTTAAGTATTATATGTTGTATAAATGAGTTAAACTTCGAGTGTTTTTGGTAGATCAAACGAAAAATCAGCAATATTTTCAAATTCGGTTTGTTGCTTTTTTGGTAATACACAACCACCACAAAACATCTACAAAACAGCACTGAATGTCACCTGTCGCGTCATATGAAAGTCACAATTAGTTATTACGGTATAAGACGAGCCGCATCAAAGTGGTGTTTTTGTCGCCACGTTGCCAAGTTTTAAAATCATAAATACTTTACTACACAATCAATGGAGAGAAGTGCGCTTTCGTTCATAAGATTCTTGTTTCTGTCTATGTAATTTAAAGATGTCCACATAAGTATTTCTAATTTGAGCATCTGTTTAGTGCAATCGTCATTCAGTGGACGCCAATATTATCAGACTGACCGTATAAACGGCACCGCACGGGTATCACGTATCTAGAAAAGTGACATTATGCCGACTTTTTTTTACATTATGCTGTTTTTTTGACATTATTTGGCTCAGAAGTGATGTAAAATCTGGTTCTGAGATGGCATCACTGGAGGTCTAAACTGTAAGTTGTATGTGTTGATAATTACATTGGGTTCTTGTCTCAAATACACTTAATTGAGATTCAAAGCTAGAAATTAGTTTCGCGTCCACTTTTTCTTATCCATTCTGGAAATTACATATGCAAATTTGCTGAATTTAAAAAATGAGAGAGATAAGAAATAATTATATTCACTGTACACTGTCGAATTACAAGCCATATACATGCTAACAGTAATTACACACAACGCGGGCGCGGTGATGATTTCTCGTAATTCTCCTCAGTTTTTCGTAATTTATAACTTTGAACATAACCTCTCTTTAGAAAGCACAACATAAAAATAACCCGTCAGTAATGATTTTCTCACACAGCAAATATCACTGATTTTATACACATGCAGACCAATACACAATCATCCAGATATATGCGATCTTGCTATTCAACCAACTTTCTTCTCAGAGATAAAAACTACAGACAAGGACCATTTGGTTTCCCAAAACATATGCAACCAATAATGCGTTTAGTTTAATTGAGTAATTCCTCCTGAGATGGACGTTCACAACGATCCTAGTGAGCAAAGGTGGAATGACTGTTTGCGCCCTATAAAAACTAACTAGTTTGCAAGATGACATCTTATAGGTTTTTTGACTTTTTATATGTTTTTTACATGATACCCATGCCGGTATTACGTATCCTGAAAAGTGATATTATATTGATTTTTTTCGTCCTTATATTAGTTATTTGTGACATTATGTAGGTACCATCCACTTGTAATCCTAGGTTGTATTCACGGTAAAGCTTTGAGGCTTATGCCCCCAAAACTTTCATTGTTTCCGACGAATGCTAATTTTTCCGATCTGCTAGGATGCCAATTACATTTTCTGACTCTGGTTAGGTTTTGTCGTTTCAAATGAGTTTGTAAATGCAACCATTTTTTGAAATAATTGAAGCTTGCACACTTTCTACTGGGTGTTCTACTTCTTCATTTTCATGAATAATTGGCCTCCAGGCCATGCGAATAAAAAATAAGTAAAATAGCAGACGCTCAAACAAAATGGACATTCCGGCAAGAGGGCAGCTTATTTAGGTTCTATGGATCACATTTGAGGGATGGTGACCTTCAAGGTCACATGTACTGTCACTGTCAGAGTTAAAAGTAGTCAACATCTATTGGATTTGTTGGATTTCAATTTCATTTTCATGCGTTGATCGCGCGATCGCGGGTGATACGTGTATTTAAAATAAAAATTAGGATCAACAGGGTTTAATAACAAATTAGTTTAGTTAAAAGTATATTACAACCACCAAAAATTACAAAAATTTGGAAGTAGGAGCGAATTTTAGATAACCAGTAAAGCACCTTCAATAATCACTATTGTGCAAACTTGTATATCGTGCCAATTTGTATAATTATTTGCTTTTAATTCATTCCTGTACTAGGCTAAGTAGTGTGAAAACCTCATTCATTTAGACTTTAATTTATCTTTTGTTAATCATCATTTGATGAGCTTTGAAGCTTAGATAAACCTCATTTACACCGCAAATTTAGGTTAAACAAATCAACCTTGTACTTTTTTCTCCGAACAACTATTATTAGATAACGATCAATCAAACATAACTTTTTGTCATTTTTACATAGGTACTGAGCTGCAAAATGGCGAATTCAACCTCGGTTTCAGCACCTCTGGATGAATTTTGTGGGTCACCATTCTGGGTGAGTCTTTCAATATTTATATTTGTATGTCACTTTCGAATATTTAAGCTACATACTACCTACTCCTACTTCTCAAGTTATCCTAAAATACATGGTGTCCCAAAATGTGTAAAAAATTTGTGTGTAGATTATAAATCCTTATTTATATTATTTGGTCTTAAATTTCACAGGTAAAGACCAGCTCCAATTCATGGATGGTATTTTCTTAGTACCTTGTTAATGACACGAATATTGGCTCAAGAAAAACACTACTATAGTAATACTGATTTTGTGAATTGTAATGATATCACAGATTTAATTTAGCCCTACATATTTTACAGTTTGGTTGCACAGCTGAGGAGTGTGCAAAAACATATTTTTTATAATTTAGTGCTTCGAAAAAGATTATGTGATAAGAAAAGCTTCAGCTAGGAAAAAACATTATACATCTTAAATTATATAGCTGGTTTGATGTATTGAGTGTAATTTCAAATATTTCCAAAGATGTACATATGTCATGGGATGTGGGTATGGATGCTTGCAGGGATTCTTATTGAACTGAGGACTGCTGTAGGATCCAAACTGATATTATGTGGGGTATTTCATAAAAAAAAACTCCAAGGAATATCAATATTTTGTTCTTAAAAAGCATATTCTGACCAGTTTTCGAGGTTCAAACGCGAAATATCGCGTCAATGGAGTGACAGAATAATTTCATAGTAAATAGGTTTTTCCATGTCCTTAGAATAACATTCTATTTTGCCATAGAGACATTTTTTTATTGGAGGTGACGAAAGCTTTTTTCAATAGTGGTTGACATATAATGTGTTTCACCTATAGAGGTATCTGTTCGTGGGTATCTGGTATAAAAATTACCTGAAATGAGAATAAAACATTTCCAGCTATTAAAAACTCGAATTTGTCTCACATTATATTCCATAAATTTACTCATAACATTAACAATAAGTAGCAAGTGCTCCAATTTCACTTACTAATCATAAGACTGTAAACACATGGCATACTCAAGGGCAACAAACAAATAATCTCTCTATTAAAGAGTCACAATGAGACTTCAATTAATATCAAAGCAAACAGTGTCACCAGAAATTAATCAGCATGAAATTGTCGAGCACCCATTTCAGTGCATTACATAACATTAGGCAAATTGCATTTTGTTATCAATATTTGTGTAATATGACTGTGTGACTGCTTAAAAAGCAAATGCTTTATCCATATAAACATAATAGTAGATATGTAATACGGTATTTTCAAAAAATTTTCCATGGGATGTACAATTTCGCCAGTTAGATTCTTGTTTCTGTCTGTTTATGTAATTTACAGATAAGTGGACATACATATTTCTAATTTAACTGTTTGGTGCAATCGCCAAACCGTCATTCATTGGACGTAAATGTCAGACTGGCCATATAAGCTGGGCAAATGCCTGGTAAAGATGCTATGGAAAGATAATCCAAAGCCTTTTTCAAGGGACAGCTTTGAGGCTTGTGACTCCACAGAACTTTCATTCTCCTCACGGATGCTATTTTTTCCGAAATCGTAGGGCACCCATTTCACTGCATTACAACCATTATTCAAATTGTATCTTGTTATCAATAGTTATGTAATATGACTGTGAGTGCATCAAGGCTTAACAACAATTTTATACATTATGCAACACAGTTTCATAGTGTTTGTTTAAAAAGTAAATGCATTATCCGTATCAGCGGCAAAGTAGACAGGTAATGGAGTATTGTCCAAAATCTTATTTTCACCGAATATCAATAACTATTCAACAAGTGGCGAAACGTGCCCTCTAAAGTTCGTACTTCGTACGCCAAAGCTGTAACGTAATAAGTTCAAGTATGACGTAATAAGTTTCTCACTAACCATTTAAAAAACCTAATAAAGTATATACATTGTGGCCCATCCATGTGTGGACGGAATATTACTCATAAACAAATAAATTTTGGGAAAATCTGTTTATGGCATGTTATACATGACATTTGAGGGCATATTTCTAAAATATTGGTAATTATACAGGGTGTCCCAATTTTGACCTACATATCAAAGTTGTGATTTTTTAAATGAAATGCCTCAAATTTTATTGCATATTTGGATAAACCATTTCAAAAGAAAAAGATAACATACTATGGGGTTTTGGTAATTAGCTACTGAGAGGTAAGGTGTTTTGTCCAGAAAAACTGTCCACTTCGGCAACCCCTGAAGCCGCCATTTATAATTTTTTCGAATTTTCATTTTTGCTCATACAGGGTGGGCAAAATCGCGAATTGTACTTTTTCTCAAAAATTTCAAGTGCATCACCCTGTATATTTGTGAAAGTTTGGATTTAATTTTTCACAAGCTTTTTTTTTGGTGTAAGGTTTGATTCAGATAAAATTAGATTTTGAGTTATTAAGCTTTTAATAGAACAACACACCAAAATTAAGGAAAAATATCACATCATCCATTGAAACAAAAGACAAACAGGGGGCTCGTTCCACATTTCCACTAAGAATACAGATTTGACGTAAAAATTATTAACAATCAGAACAGTGTAAATCAGCTTCAAGAGTAACAGAGAAAAACAACTATAACAACAGCTTAAACAAACAACTATCACTACTCAAGACCTAATCTACCAAAACTGCTCGAAAATATCTCTAACATGTTGAATAAACAGCCGTAGTCTTTCCTTCATATTTTCTGGGTTAGATAGTGGATATCTAACATCTTTCATAACGTAGCCCCATAGAAAGAAGTCCATCAGTATCATATCTGGTGATGTAGGAGTTCAAGATATAGGCCTATCACGACCGATCCAACGATTGTTACGCCTGGTGTCCAAATAGTTACGCACCCGATTATGATAATGCGCAGGTGCGCCGTCATGTTGGAAATACATATGCATCAGAGTTTGCAGGCTGGCATCCTCCAAAAGCAAATCAAATGCTCGATCAAAAAATTCAAGTGTTCTGTACCTGTTAATGTGTTATCGAAAAAGAAAGGCCCGATAATTTGTCTGCCAATAACTCCTCCCCAAACATTCTACCTCCATTTATTTTGGAAATCTATTTGCTTAACCCAGTAAGGGCCTTTGGTCGCATGATAGTGCATGTTATGCCTGTTGACAACCGACAACCCCTATGCGGTTAAAAGTTGCCTCATCGCTATCTACTAAAATCCATTCGATTTGCGAAATCCTGAGGACCAAGGCCTT